GTCATATTTTTCCCCCTTAATGTCTAGTCTTTTATACTTATTTGGTGCCTAAATGTACTCATTATTATTTTATTTTGATTTAGTATGCAAATGGAGGTGTTAAATGCAAAACGAAACTAATTAGGTGATTTCGGACAGTTTCGACACTGCTTCGTAATATGGACATAACTCTCTCATCCGAGCTCAGATTGAGGTGATTCAAAATTCTTGGAACCCTAAGAAAGAGATCTACAACTTTCATGTTTTGAGTTTGGAGAGATACTCACTGTATCAAGGCTGGAATTGGGCTTCAAGTTGACGCACCTACACTGCTAATGTTCTGGAACATTCTGTCTTATCATGCAATTCAAATGTGCAGTTTACTATTGAAAGTTTTGAAGATCTGGTGCATGAAAGTTACAGTTGGAAACACCACTTTCCTTGTTATATTAGGACTTTATTTATTTTTAATTAATCAGATTTGGATAAATGTTATTTTAGGATAAAGCTTAGAATATTTTTTAGGAGATTGAGTAGAATTCAAAGACTTGAATTGGATATTTTTAAGAGGGGGAGAGAGATCAGAGGGAGACTGCACACGCCTCTCCTACCCTTCTTCTTCTTCATCTCCTTTTGAGTTTTCACGATGGCCATGAGCAGCTAAATTTTCATAACTTGGTCGAAGGAAACAGAGGCCTCAGAATCAATAAAACTGTGAGATCTAATATGTTTTTAGTGTTCAATATATGCTTTGAGTATTGGATGTTCTTCTATGCCTATTTTCATGATTGTCTCATTTAATTACTAGGAAGCCTACTAGTTTATTATTTGTTGCAATCTATCACTAAATTAGATATCAAATCCGTAATTGTTTTATCCCTCTAATTTGTGAGTAACTAAGATTTAAGAATTTGCTGTGTCAGGAATTATTAAATCTTAAGAAGAATGCTCAACTAAATTAAATACAATTGCATGTGTTTGTGTTGTTCAGCTTCATCGATCCCTCTAGTTCTTAAGGCTGCTTCTAGATTAAACCTTTAGCACTTGTCTTGGGTTGTTTAGTAGTAAGATTAATTAGATCGCTTGTTTCCTAATTAACTGCAACTAAGGAGAGATAGGAAAATAGTTCTAATGGTGAATATTCAAAGTATGAATTGATATATACTTGCTTCGATGATCAGTTGTAAAATTCCGATGGTGGATGTTGACTTAGACCAAGGTTTGTTCTTTTGATTGATTTCGATAATTTAATTTGAATTGTCCCTTAGTTGTTTTTTCCTGAAATTGTTTTCGTTATACTCAAATCCCCCCGATCCTTGTTCACGTAGCATAAAACTAGGCTAGCCACTCTCCGTGGGAACGATCCTTACTCTTCGAAACGGGTACTCGGACTGCTCCTAATTCCACCAAAAATCCTACCGTGACCAGTACTGCCAAAAATTTTGTTTTTTTTGAAAAATAACAACAACGAAATCAGAACACAAGAACAAAAAAAAATTAAACTAGAATCACTCCTCGGCAATGACTCCAAAATCTGGTGTGCTGTCATAGGCACCCAAAATTAAAACCTAAAAACACATGTAGTTGTGTGAGTCAGGATCATTCCCATGAAGAGTGTCTAGCCAAACTTAATGTTACGTGAACCAATATGGGGGGGGGGGGGGGGGGGGGGTTGAGTTAAACAAAACAATTTCAGAAACAACAATTCAAATTAATTAATCAATCAAATAAAAAACACCTTGTCTCAGTCAACATCCACCATCAGAATCTTACAACTGATCATCGATGCAAAAATAAATCAATTCATACTTTGAATATTCACCATTGGAACTATTTTCCTATCTCTCCTTAGTTGTAATTAATTAAGAAACAAGTGATCTAATTAACCTTACTACTAAACAACTCTAGACAAGCACTAAAGATTTAATCTAGTGGCAGCCTTAAGACCTAGAGAGATCGATGAAGCTAAACAACACAAACTCAAGTGGTTGTATTTAATTTAGTTGAATGTTCATCTTAAGACTTAATAATTTCTGATGCAGCAAATTCTTATACCCTAATTGCTTCACAAGTTAAAGATTTGATATCTAACTTAGCAGTAGATTGCAACAAATAATAAACTAGTAGGCCTCCTAGTAATTAAACACAACAATCATGACAATATGCATAGAAGAACATCCAATACTCAAAATATAAATTGAACACTAAAAACAGATAGATCTTGCAGTTTTATTGATTCCGAGGTCTCTGTTTCCTTCGACCAAGTTATGAAAGTTTAGCCGCTCATGGCTATGAAAAACTCAAAAGAAAAACGAATTCCCCTAGAGAGAAGAGAGAGGCGTGTGTGATATGTGTAATCCCTAATCTGATCTCTCTCGCCTTAGCAAAATCCAATTCAAGTATTTGAATTCTACTTAATCTCCTAAAAAATATTCTAAGCTTTATCCTAAAATAACATTAATACTTATCAGATTCTGATTAATTGAAAATAAAATAAAGTCTTAAAATAATATAGGAAAGTGGTGTGTCCAGCTGTAAATTGTGTGCAACAGGTCTTCAAAACGTCCAATAATAAACTGCCTCATTGACTTGTATGATAGGGCAGGATGTTCCAGAACGTCAGCAGTACAGATGCGCCAACTTCAAGCCCGATTACAACCTTGATCCAGTGAGTATCTCTCCAAACTCAAAACATGAAAGTTGTAGATCTCTTTCTTAGCGTTCCAATCACTTTGAATCATCTCAATTGGAGCTTGGATGAGAGAGTTATGCCCATATTACAAAACAATGTCGAAACTGTCCGAATTCACTTAATTAGTTCCGTTTTGCAATTAACGCCTCCATTTGCATCTTAAAACAAAATAGAATAATAATGAGTAAATTTAGGCAGCAAATAAGTATAAAAGACTAGACATTAAGGGGGTAAATATGACATTTTGCATTCTCATCACACTACTACATGTATTCTGAGATTTTAATTCTGGTTGCCTGCGATAACACATCATAAATCAATTACCTTTCTTTGCCTAGATCCAAGTATAGATTATATCGTTTACATGTTTATAAACAAAAATCTGTATAAAGTAAATCCATTCAAGGATTAGAATACTTACGTACGTTTGGAGGGTCCTTCGAATAACTATGATTTCGGACATGAACACTATTCACGGTATTGTTCATCGTATGGTTAACGGTATGCTCACAGTCACTATTCACTGTCTACTATTCACTGTTACTGTTTACTGCCTGCTGTTCATGGTTATTGTTCACCATCTACTATTCACGTGATTTTTTTGTCAAAGCGATCCAAAATAGGATCGTACTCACGGAAGTCCACACGAAGATAATCCACAGAACCCTTGGTTATTTTGCTATAACAATCAAGGGCTTCAAGAATCAAGAAAGAAGAATAAGAAAAGTTTTCTTCTTGAGGGAGAGAAAGAGAGGGTGGCTAGGGTTTTAATTGAATGAATAATTCTCTTATGTTTTAATTTTAAGTTGCACTTATATAGTGCAATAATTAAAACCCTATTCTACTTAGGAATAGCCATGGGCTCCAACCCTAGTTCACACTTGCAACCAAACACACCCTTTATGGTATTTTAATTAATTAATTATTATTATAACTAAAATCAATTAATATATAACAATATATTAATATTTAATTAATAATAATAATTCATTTAAATATATACAGAGATATATTTAAATATAATCTTACTAATTTAATTTTAATATTAAAATTAAATGCAGGCAGCAACCTCAGCAAATTTAATTGCACTATGGATTACCAAAATACCCTTTCATCCTAAACGAAGAAAATGCCCTTCTCACAAATTGATTCTTAAATTATCTTCTAAGTGTGTGACTTGTAGGCTCCTCATCATATCGGCAGTGTGTAGTATTGCTATTAACACCAATTAATCGTCTCACTACACATAGAGCAAGATTGGCCCCTAGCAAGGCATCATGGCCACCCGATAGATTCGGATTCAGTAAAACCGCAGCCTGTCAACGCTTTGGTTACCGTGCAATCAAATCATTTCATAACTTTTATCTCATCAAGACTAAGGTACAGATATAGTGTCAACCTCAGATATCCTCTACATGTTTATATTCAGTTACTGGACCAATGACAGGAATATTAAATTGGATTGAGCATTAACTCAATCCCACTGTGGCCACAGATTTAGTGTCATTGCCATTTACTGAATTACCCAGTGAAATAACTTCTCCCGTACCCAGGAGTGATGAATCTTTTGTCAATCCACCATAATCTCGATACACTTCTGAATGTAGCCAATCACTACCGTATTGATAGCTCTGAATAGAACTACATTAGGCTAGTGTCAAACTACACCAATTGGTGCACAAGGCACTCCGGTGATCTCAAGTCTAAGGATCACATACACCACCATCCGTTAGATGATTTATTCCATAGACACTGGGGTTACCATCCATATGGAATCCTCTGGTGGGTCTGTCTAGTGAACTTGCCTCTAGCAAGCACCCATACGTTGCACCAGGTTGTTGGCAAACAATCTTGACAAGTGAGATCAGTCACTGCCTTTCAACAGGGTCGTTCAACACTATGATAGCCTTACTGTATTATCTGTGTCCTTGGTCAAAATAATAATGGGGCAACAGACGTTTCTAGAATGGCCACCATATGTGATCATAGGGTTCTCACTATCAAGATTTGAAACACTTGATACCCTCGTCACGGTTCTACCATCCTAAGGACATATATCATTACATACACTATATAGAAGAATATGCCTTTTATTGATAAATAAACATTTATTACAAAATCAATTTTACAATAATTGATTGGTTCTAGGGCACCTACCCTAACATCTACTTTGTCTTAGTCCTTGTACATCAATACAAATGTGAGTACCACATCCTATGTCAATGACCCAAGATGTTGAAGGGAAGAAGTTAATCTTAATCATGTACATACCTGAAGTTGAAGCATCTAGCTTCTTCTTGCTTGCAAAGAAAGCCTTGTAGTGTTTCCTCTAATGGCCAAGCTTGCCACAATAAAAGCAGACTATCTTCCCACCTTTTCCAATGCCACCCTCAGGCTTAAGAGCATCATGTCCTTTGGGTTTGGACTTGGGATAAACCTTGGCCTTTCCTTTACTCTTACCCTTGCCTTTACTAGTAACAACCAGTAAAACAAGTTTAGGCTTCTTCAAGTCCTGTTTCGCAGTCCTCAGCATATTTAAGAGCTCTAACATGGACTTCACCATCATGTTCATATTGAAGTTCATTATGAAAGGTGAATAAGAATCAGGCAGTGACTGCAAAATTAAGTCACATTGCAATTTTTCATTAACAACAAAACCCAAAGTCTCAAGCCTTTTTATGTACCTAATCACCTTGAGCACATGAGGACCAACTTGGGCTTTCTTGGCCATTCGGCTCTTAAATAGTGCCTTTGACACCTCATACCATGTGCATCCATATTCTCATGCTATTTTTGCAGCTTAGATGTCATTAATGCGAGAATAATGCCTTGAACATTATCAACATCATCAAGGAACTTTTGATAAGTATCCTTAGCTTCCTATGTGGCATCAGGTGTAGGCTCAACCGAATAAGGCTTATCAAGGACATACAATTTCTTTTCAGACTTAAGTACAATTCGAAGATTTCGATACCAATCTGATAAATTGGATCCATCTAGCCTATTGTCTTTCTCGATTATTGGTCACAATGATAGGTTAGTATTGGTCATTTTAATGAATCTACAAGTGCAGAAAAACAAATGTTATTATAATATTTATTATTGTTTAACAAGGTTTTTTATAAAATAATTGCTCCCACTATTTTCCTCAAGTTAATAGCCTTCACTATTAACTAGAGAAAGCCCGTTGGCTTTCCTAGTAGACCGAGATCCCATCTAGCCCATTTCAAAACTTCGCTTTAGTGAACAAGCCAAAATGGGTGGATTGGGTAGGTCAACAAACTTAATTCACACCAGTGATAGCTCTTACTACCAATCTCAAATGCGAAATAAGCCAACAAACTAATCACACAATTCAATGGTCAAAACCATTTTCCTCAAGTGTGATTCTCAATATCCGTAGAGTGGACACTACATATCACCATGTACACATAACAAGTGTACTTCTCTACTATGCCTATGATGTGTTTATCAACATTCGCTTTGGCGAACAAGCAAAACACATTATTTAAGTCAACCCATCACCATTAAATGCTCATATATATATTTCATAACTTTGACATGCTAAAAGTTTTACCCTTTAATTTGATTAAAGTGTTTTATGTAGGAAGTATGTGTAAATGTTGCAAGTGTTTAGTGGTGGAAATTTTAATGGCATAGAGTTATAGAGTTTATTAATTCATATGATAAATTGGATTATGTGATATGCATGATGATGGTAATATTTTGCATGATATTTAATTTGATTAAATTATCTTATAAATCATCATTATGGGGCCATTTCGATGGGGTTGATATTATATAACAGGGGTAATATATGTTAAATTGAGTAGATAACCATGTTTGGTTGTTTTGTAAAAAACCATTCCGGAAAAAAAAAAGTCCATCAGTGCCAATTTGGGGGTAAATTGCTTGGAATAATATTACCTAAGGGGAGGCTGTTATTAAAACATTCTTCTAGTAATCCAAATTTCTATCCAATCTTGCCCCAAAACAGTGGACAATGTGGACGAAAATATTCTTTGTTTTGTTAATAATTACAAAACAGCCAATTTGCACAAGCAGACAGATTTGTCCTCAATTTTTTAATTTTCTAGACAAAATTGCCCTGGTTATTATCATTATTTTCATAAATGCCACGAAATATTGGGGTACCCATATTATCCTCACATATTTGCATATTGTGGCCAATGTGCCCTTGGACTTTAATAAAACTACAATATAAAAGGAAAAAAAAATTTGAACCCTAAACATTTCGATCTCCTTCTGCCCTAAACCTCTATCACTGCCACTGTAGTCTTCTTCTTCTCGATCTCGTTCACCAGTTCGTCAGTCCGATCACCATTTCTAGTAAGTCCCTCGCCCTCTTTCCATTGTATGGTTCGTGATTTTTTTGGATTGCATTTGTAACCCTAACTTTTCCATTTTGTAGCTACCGTTGGTCTACCATCTCCGCCGCAGCAACCTCAGGTCTTTGTCTCCATTTGTTTGCTCCCAATAGCACTCCAATCACGATTTTCAGTAAGTTTCTCGCTTTTTTTTTACTGTACGATGATTATTAAATTGATATGGTTGCTTTGTTTCACTTTTGAGAGGGTAAAATTGCCCTGCAATAATTGATTTTATCCTAAAATCAAATGAAAAGAGTTCGAAATGCCATTAGGTTGCTTGTTTAATGTCTTTATTTGTTGTTGTGTAGTGGTCCGTGAGATATGAAATACTATTGAGCATGAGAATCTGATTTCATTGGTTAAGATAATCAAAATAAATGTCTGAGCATTCATATATGTTTCTTATCTTATAGTTTTCCTCTAGTTTTTTCGTAAATTGTTTTACTCAATTATAGATTGAAGTAGGGTAGCTACAAGTTACAAGTTATAGGAAAATATCATCAACATTCCTACATGAAAAAAATTCCAATTATCTAGATATTGGATTTTAACTTCCAAAATGGTGAGTAGTTGAAAGAATACAGAGCATGTGATAATAGAAATTTACCCAACAACGACAGAAATGAATCCAGAATAACTTTCTCACCTAACCTACAATAATGAATAGCAATTAACATCAAGATGTATGTTACAAAGACAAGAAAAGCTCTAAGCAAAACAAATTGCCATCACAGACCTTCCATATTTGCAAGCTATTCTTTCAACTGAAGATTGTTTCAGTGAATCTTGAAATATAATTTGTACCAGGTGATAAATGAAGCAATTTTTTTGCAACTTCAGATATCTACCCTAGATTTTTTTATTTATTTATTAATAGAAACATATCTACCCTATCTATGGCTTTTGCTATATCACAAGTCATCAACTAAAAAACAAAGGTCTCATTTTATGACGCAACAGGTTAAACAAACTGTCATCTATAAAATCACATTCAAGCACCACAAACATGTGTGTCTGCATGAACATATTGGACATTTTCACTTTTTAGCCTTACTTGTGCATGTCCACCCAGTTCACTCCTGATTTCATTGCTTTTATGACGGCATTGTGAGCTTCAAGAACAGCCTGCATAAGATGAAACTTGTACTACAATAAGCTTAATACTATACATCATTTGCATTGTCTGACTCTACAAAGTGCAAACAAGTGGAAGTTAGACAAAATAAATTCTGCATTGTTATGTTTAACATACATTTTTTGATAGAAATGTCAAAACATTTTAAGACAAATTAGAATGATAAAGGTATTGCAATAGCAGTGCTCGTCCTATTTCATAAATATAAAGTTAAAGTAAACTTATAGAATCCAATTGGTTAGCAACAACATAAAAGATTATACCAATTGAATTGCTAAAGAAGACAGTTTTGAGGGATTGGTGTGAATTTTTTATGATGTTTATGTTGGTTTGTGTGACGGATTTTGAATTTTGATGTATGGGACATTAAGAATTTTTTGAGTTTTCGAGGTGAATTTTGGTTTGTGTGGTGAGATTATTAAATTCTAATGTTCATGTTGTTTTCATTGAAATTCAGTTTGATTTCTTTCATATAAGATTGCATGTTATTGGTTTGAGGACTTGTACATGCTTGATTGACTTTATTATGCTTTGATACATGAATTATGTGAAACAACTATGGCTCGTTTAACAGTCAGGCAGAAGATGCACTTGGTTGCCCTTTTAGTCTTCGATTTGGACATGTTGGAAACCACGTACACCATGCTTGTCCTTCTTGGATTGGCTAATGTACTTAATATACGGGGTAGACGTAGGGTTGGTATATCATATGCTAGTGATTCTACGTCTGGGTTTAAGGTTAGGTCATTGAAACTGCACACCATGCTTTTCCAGAGTGATGGTTATGTTTTGAGAGCTGTAGGATGAATAGGGTTCTATTTGACAAATTATGTAATTTACTTACTATACATGGCAACTTAAAATCAATTTGTCATTCATCCGTAGAAGACTTAATAGGGACTTTTCTTCACATCCTTGCCCACAACCAGAAGACCATAGTCATGAAAAGTCAAATGTGCAAATCTACTAAGACGGTAAGCCACAATTTTCACTTAATGTTGAGCAATGTGTTAAGGTTGCATACCTTGTTGTTTAAAAAACCAAAGCCCATTCCCAAAAACTCAACCAATGACAAGAGGAAATGGTTCAAGGTGTAGTCTATTACTCAGTTTAGGATGCATAATTCAGTAGCTTATTAAAATTAGAGTTAGTGTTTTGTCTAAAATATTTTTCTTGTTCTATGTTAGAACTATTTGGGAGCTTTAGATGGAACATACATAAAGGTTCACATGCCTGCTGACGATATACATAGGTATTGGTCAAGGAAAAATGAAATCGCAACAAATGTCCTTGGTATATGCATACCAAACATGAAGTTTATATATATCCTCCCTAGGTGGTAAGGTTTCGCTACAAATAGTTGAGTTCTTAGGGATGTCATTACTAGGAGAAGTGGATTAAAGGTCCCCCAAGGTAATATAACAAAATAAATAGCATTTTTAATGTTAGGGTCTACCATAATAGTACACGTATTAATTGTTATTGACTTGTAATGGATTATTTTAGAGCAATACTATTTATGTGATGCTGGATACACTAATGGTGAAGGGTTTTTGGCCCCTTATCGAGGACAAAGATATCATTTGAGTGAAGGGCAGCAAGGTCACCAACCAGTATCACCGCAAGAATTTTTCAACATGAAACACTCTTAAGCAAGAAATTGTATTGAGCAACGTTTTGGCATCCTGAAACCTCGATGGGAATATTGAAGGACAAATCTTACTACCCGTAAAAACTCAATGTAGAATCATTATTGCATGTTGTCTTGTTTGGAAATGATCAAGTCATGGCAGTGGAAAACAAAAATTATTTACAACATGGATCGTTCCTTAGAACCAAGATCAGGGCATAAATTTATAGTTTATACATTATATTAGAATTTGCAGAAAATTCAGTCTAAAGTTAAGAAATCATACGCACGTTTGGAAACTCCTCCAACTTGTCTCTGAACGGGTTTCGCTATCGATCAAAGAGTAGGATTGAACCAATGTAGTCCACACGAAGATAACCCCAAGGAATTAAAGAGGGATTTGCTAGATCCCCTTTAGCCATAAGAACCAAGAACAAATCAAGCAAATTTTGTTTCAAGCAAAAAGGCAATCTAGCGTGGGAGAGAAAAGGGGGCTGGAGGTTTTTCTTTTGAATGAAATGAAATTAATTAAATAATTTCACAAAGTGTTGCACATATATAATGCACACTATGCC